AACTTACGAAGATGCTCAATGTTCCAGGAGTTGCTCACCAGAATGCCATCTTCGGTCTCAAGGCGGACAGCGTCGGGCCTAGTGACTCGTTTCACCCGATAAGGGCCTTCCCACCTCGGCGTCAACTTGTTGGAATTCTTGGCTGACTGAACGCGCCGAAGAACAAGGTCGCCTTCCTCGAGACTCCTGGCATTGACTCTGCGGCTATGGTAGCGGCGCAGAGCTTGCTGGTAGCGAGCGGCTCGCACAGCAGCCTGGAGACGGTCTTCCTCAAGGAGCAGCGCGTCATCTTGCCGCAGCTGCTCTTGCTCGAGCTCATCGTAAGCGAGCACTCGAGGTGACCCGTATACGAGTTCCGTGGGGAGAACTGCCTCCGCTCCATAGACTAGAGCGAAGGGTGTCTGGCCAGTGGCTCGATTTGGCGTCGTCCTGATCGACCAAAGAACCACCAGCAGCTCCTCGATCCAGTTTCTTCCGCACTTGTGCAGTCTGTCGAAAGTTCTGGTCTTGAGGCCTCGCAACACTTCAGCGTTTGCCCTCTCCGCTTGACCGTTGCTTCTTGGATGAGCAACAGAAGCGAAGCAGACCTTGGCGCCAAGATCTTGGACGTACTTCATGAAGGTGCGGCTCGTAAATTGCGTGCCGTTGTCGGTGATGATCCTGTTCGGGATCCCGAAACGGCAAACAATCGACCTGAAGAACTTGACTGCTGACTGTGCTATCACCTTCCTCACTGGTTACACTTCCGGCCACTTTGTGAACTTGTCGATTGCAACGTACAAGAACTCAAAGCCCCCAACATCTCGGGGGAAGGGGCCGAGGATGTCGAGCCCCCAGACAGAAAATGGCCAGGATAAAGGGATCGTCTGGAGAGCTTGAGCTGGCTGGTGTATCTGTTTGGAATGGAACTGGCACGCTTCACACTTGGTTACTTGTGCAGTTGCATCCTGGAGGGCTGTCGGCCAGAAGAAGCCTTGTCGGAATGCTTTGCCGACAAGTGCTCTTGCACCAATGTGGTGACCACATATGCCTCCATGTATCTCTGCCAACAGCTGTTGCCCATCTTCCCGGCGAATGCACTTCAATTTCACACCGTTGAGTCTTATTCTGTACAGTGTGCTGTCGACAAACTTGTACATACTTGACTGTCGGGCTACTTTTTCAGCTTCTTCTTGCTCTTCGGGAAGCTCTCCTGTCTGGAGGAAACGGACAATCTGCTACGCCCATGCTGGAGCTTGCGGCTCGACAACAAGGACTAAAGGTGTACCTGTTGCTGCGGGAACATCCGCTTCTACGGCGAGAACCTGTGATTCTGCCGGAGCGTGATGTTCCCCGGCAAGCTTGCCGGAGCAAAACTTGTCGGGAGCATTTGCTTCGACGGAACAAACCACAAGGTTTGCCGGAGCAGACTACCCCTCAGCATCGTTGGCGTTGATCTTGGGGACTTTCTTGGCGGCGGCTTCGGGGTGCTCTGCCGGAAAGTAGTCACCTGAAACCAACTTCCTCTTTTTATTCTGTCCAGTTGATGGTGCCACGGAAGGCTGAGTCAGCTTGAGCACAAAGATCCCTGGTTCCACAGGCAACTTTAGTGCAGCGCATTTTGACAGGCCATCAGCAATGTCATTCTGAGCTTTTGGGATATGCTCCATTTGCAGGCCGTCAAAGCGCTCTTCTAGCTTCCTCACTTCATCAACATATGCTTCCATCAATGGGCTCTGGTAGTTCTTGTTCACTTGGCGGACGACAAGCTGCGAGTCACCCCTGATTATGAGCTTCTTGATCCCAAGGTCGGCTGCTATTCTAAGACCGGCAAGCAATCCTTCATACTCTGCAGTATTGTTGGTTGCTTGCTCTTTGGGAAAGTGCATCTGGACTATGTATTTGAGGTGCTCTCCGGTGGGTGCGATAAGCAGCACGCCAGCACCGGCGCCTTGCAGCGAGAAGGCACCATCAAAGTACATCAGCCACTCTTTGCTTGTCTCCTTGACGGGGATGCTCGTCTCTGGAATTTCTTCATCTGGAGTTAGCGTCCACTCTGCTATGAACTCTGCCAATGCCCTGCTTTGGATAGTTGCAGTGCTCTCAAACTTGAGGCCAAAGCTTGACAGTTCCAAGGCCCACTCGACTATCCTGCCTGTTGCTTCTGGATTCTGCAGTATCCTTCTCAGCGAAAAGCGAGTGACGACTGTGATCTCGTGTGCCTGGAAGTAATGGCGCAGCTTTCTCGAGGCCATGAGAAGGCCGAAAAGCAGCTTTTGCACACCAGAGTACCTCGACCTAGCCCCCTGGAGAAGGGAGCTGACAAAGTAAACTGGGCGCTGCACCATCTTCTTCTGCACCTCCTTGCACATCTGCGCAGATCCATCTTTGTCGGGATCAGAGCTTGCCGGACCAGAGCTTGTCGGAGAAGCTACCTGCTTGCCGCCGGATTCACTTGCTGCGGTTGCTGGTTCATCGTCCGCCTCCCTCTCCGCTACTAACGCATCACTAACCACTTGATTGGTTGCCGCTAGGTACAGCAGCAACTTCTCTTGTGGCTTAGGTGCGACAAGTATTGGAGTGGAGGACAGGTACCTCTTCAAGTCCTGCAGCGCAGCCTCCGCTTCCGGAGTCCATTTCATTGGACCTGCCTTTTTCAATATTTTGAAAAATGGCAGGGCGCGCTCAGCAGACTTAGAGATAAACCTGCTGAGAGCAGCCACGCAACCGGCAAGCCTTCGCACCTCCTTGACGCGCTTCGGTGCTTCACTCTGCTCGATGGCCTTAATCTTGTCGGGGTTGGCTTCAATTCCCCGCTGAGACACAAAGAACCCGAGAAGCTTGCCGGAAGGGACTCCAAACACGCACTTCTCGGGGTTGAGCTTGAGGTTGATCTTGCGCAGATTTGCAAAAGTTTCTTCTAAATCTTGGATCAGGGTAGCCTTGTCCTTGCTCTTGACCACTATATCATCCATGTAGGCTTCCACATTTCTGTGTATCTGTGGCTCAAAGGCGACGTGGACTACTGTTGCAAATGTTGAACCAGCATTCTTCAACCCAAAGGGCATTCGTACAAAACAGTATGTGCCACAAGGGGTGATAAATGCGGTTTTCTCCTCATCCTCTTCTGCCATGAAGATTTGATGGTATCCTGAATACGCATCAAGAAATGAAAGCAAATCACATCCAGCTGTGGAGTCAACAATCTGGTCAATGCGTGGCAAGGGAAATGGATCTTTGGGACAAGCTTTATTGACATCACTGAAGTCTATACAAAGCCTCCATTTCCCGTTCGCCTTGCGCACGACTACAGAATTGGCCAGCCACGTGGGATGGAGCACTCCTCTAACAAGGCCTGCTGCTTCCAATTTCCTGATTTCTTCTGCAATGAACTCTTGGTGCTCCACCGCTTGCTTCCTGACTCTCTGCTTGACGGGCCGCGCATGAGGACAGACGGCAAGGTGGTGCTCGATTACTCTCCTGGGAACACCGGGGATATCAGACGGTTGCCATGCAAACACGTCGACATTCGCCCGCAGGAAAGCAACGAGCACGCTTTCCTATTTGGGGTCAAGCGTGGCACTGATGGTGAAGGTACCACTAGTGCCGTCCTCCTTGGCGGACACCTTCTTGGTCTCGGGTGGAGTTGCCATCATCTCCTTGGTGACCACCTGGCGCGCTAGAGATGTCGGGGGCGATGCTGATTCCCGCCAACACCTATGGGGAGAGGGCCCCTTTTCGGTTCGGTGGGGGGCGGAGAGCGCACAAAGAGAGGATCGAGGCGGTGCACGCGGGGAGATTTTTACCCAGCTTCGGGCCGCACGGATGCGTAAAACCCTACTGCTGCTTGTTTGTGTATATTGGATTCTTGCTCAGGAGCGATGGACGCTGCCACACTGAGCGTAAGAGTGTCTCTGGTGTTGAACGAGCCGAGCTGGCCGAGTCTCTGAACTCCCCGACCCTCGGAACCCCTTTCTACGTTGCGCTTGGGCCTCCTTTTATACTCAAGGGGTCACCGACAGGGGGCAACGTAGACAAGAAGGGTAAAAATGGAAAAGGATGTGGTAGGTATAGCTACCACTACTGTGGATACAGTGCACCCTACCTAACTCTGACGGCAGGGGACAAGGGCATTAAATGCCTGTCTGAGTCTCCTAAACAGTGCAAAAGGTGACCGTTATGAGTGCCACCGTTTGCCACGATGGGCTTCTCTTCATCTCCGCTTGCCACCACGTACCCCTAGCTGCACGGCCTCCCGCCACGTGCGCTCTGGGAGAGTCCCAGAGCGACACGTTAGCAGGTGAGCTGGAGCGCGGGCACGCAGTGGGGGTTTCCCGCGGCAAGCTCCTTGCCGCGGCCGTCGTCTTGTCGCCTCCAGAAGCTTGTCGCTCGCCGGATCTTGCCGGGACGCAGGGCGCGTCGCGGCAAGCTTTCTTGGTATGTCTTGAGTGGCCTTCCCGCAAGCTCCTCTTGCCGGGGCCTTGGTTGGCCTTCCCGGTAAGCTCCTCTTACCGGGGCCTCGGTTGGCCTTTCCGGCAAGCTCCTCTTACCGGGGCCTTGGTTTGAGTATTTTGTTCTTGAATGGTCTTCAAGGGAACCACGGAGGGTCCTGGCGGTCACCCGGCAAGCCTTGCCGCGGGGCGCTGCAACTGCCCGTGCACGAGTTCAAGGTAATAGGGTACCCCTACTCTAGTACACCGACATGGTCATACAAGCAATTCACGAATTTAAACCAATAATGAGGCTGGGCAACTCACCTCCAGGAGGCTCCCCCGGTTGGTCCTTCGTTGGCTGTCGGATCTATTTTTTTATGCGTTTGGACCATGGATCTTCGCAGCAGTTAAACTCAGTTTTCATCTTGCAGTTGTTTTCGTTGTCCAATGACTGGTGGGTTCGCGCCGCACGTTGGTTGGCTGGGTTGCCCGTTTTCAGGTGCAGGTGGTTTTGCCCAATCAGCTTGGTGCACCCGCACCCAATCACCTGCGTCTCGCCCCACTCCCGCCCCAGCCGCCAAATGAACCCTAGCCCTCTTTCTCTTTCCTCTCGATCCCCACGAGCCGCCGCACCCCTCCCTCGATCCCCATGATCCTCTCCTCGCCAGCAGACGCCGGCCGGCCTCGTCTCTCCACTCGCCTCCTCCTCTCCTCTACCATGTCGTCGTCGATCCCACCGCCAGCCTTCTCCTCTTCTCGCCTGCTCCTGTCCTCTTCCATGTCACCGCCGACCCAGATCGGACGTAGGTTAGCTTCACGGTGCGGGTGGGGATGTAGGGGAGGTGTAGGATGTGGACAAGGAGGGAAGGAGGAGGCCGCCGAGGAAGCCAAGCAACAGCGGGGAAGGAGAAGGTGAGCGATCCTAGCATGGGGAAGGGGCAGGGTGAGGCCTCGCACACCTGCCGGCTGATTTGTTGCGCCACCGTGTCGTCGCCTCCTCTGCACCATGAGAGGCGCATCCTCTGCCTATGAGAGACGCAACCTCTGCCTCCACCCCCCTCCCACTGGGCAAGGAGCTTGAGGTGATCAGGCGGTGTGGGAAGGCGAGAGGAACCAGGAGATCACCCCTCCTCCCATGGCTGCCTCATGGATCTGGAGTATAAGGAGGACAACATGTGCCTATTGCAGGCGGCTCGAGCGATGCAGGCTGGCGGCGAACTAGGTGATCCACTCTTTCTCTCCCTCTTTTAATTTCTTCCTCACACCTATTTTACTTTGCTATTATATGGATATTTAAACTTGACGTGTGTAGATCTGACATAGAAGAGAGGAAGACTAATTTTAGCTAAGAGTGGAATTTAGAGTTCAAAGAATCAGTTGATGCTATTCACCAAAGAGCGATTTTTGTTACAGTTCCTCTGAATTAGTAATCCAGAAGGACTAAAACATCATCGGTCAGCCATTGTTGTTAGATTGATGTTGCCTTGATTACCACTTCGTTTGGTGGCTACACTATAAATTCTTGAGATATAGTGCAATGGTTGATAGTTTGTTGCATAATCATATTGATTCTGCTGAACTAATACTCTCTTTGTATATCTAGGATTCCTACTAGAACATGTCATTCCAAATTGCGACAATGATCTTTCTAGTCATGAGTCGTCCTTTTTTATACTGAATTTTTATGCATACTCTATGCAGACAAGGAGGCCTCCTCGGACATTAAGAAGGTACAACTAGGTAGCAGTGGAAATGCTCCGTTCAAAAACAAGTAATATCTCTGAATTATTACACTAGAATGTATGCATGGTAAATACCATGACCTTACAAATTTACATATGTCCCCTTCTGCTTTTCTCAGGAACTTGGCAGAAGCTCTACATATGCAAATGGAGGTTCAGACACAGCTCCATGAACAGCTATAGGTGCCTTCTCTGTTCCTGTTTTCGAGCTCTAATAGGATGGTGTTCTTGTCGGCATATATTTCTGATAGTAGGAGCATTCTTTTTCTTACTTCACAATAATTACTGCGCTTTCTGTATATATGAACCCAAATCCATATTTAAATGGGTGATAAATGTTTTTGCGGCATGGTGGACTTTGGAGACTAGCACTTTTATAGTATTGTTACAGACTCTATTTTTTACTAATAATCGTATTGATTCTGCTCCGTTCAAAAACAAGTAATATCTCTGAATTATTACACTGGAATGTATGCATGGTAAATACCATGACCTTAAAAATTTACATCTGTCCCCTTCTCCTTTTCTTAGGAACTTGGCAGAAGCTCTACATATGCAAATGTAGGTTCAGACACAGCTCCAAGAACAGGTATAGGTGCCTTATTTGTTCATGTTTTCGAGCTCTAATAGGATGGTGTTGTTGTTGGCACATATTTCTGATAGTAGGAGCATTCTTTTTCTTGCTTCACAATAATTACTGTGCTTTGTGTATATATGAACCCAAATCCATATTTAAATGGGTGCTAAATGTTTTTTGCGGCATGGTGGACTTTGGAGACTAGCGCTTTTATAGTATTGTTACGGACTCTATTTTTTACTAAACAAAACTGATTCATCAACATTGCCCTACTGTTTTTGATGCACAAAATTAGTCAATCAACACATTGGCCCGCTGAAAATCAACACATTGGACTGCAACCATACTAATTACTGTAGAATATGGTGGTCAGCAAAATCTACAAGAACAGTCGTCCTAGGTGTAGAATAACAAGTGGTATGTGCTGTGAAAAATTAAGAGAGGGGGACAATGAAAAGGAGTTTCTTCAACAGTACATTGCTAGACGACCTCAATGTGGTGCTCAGGGTGGCAATCGAAGAGGCGCCCAACGTCCTTATGGTGGAGATAGGGGAGGAGTTGAGCGTCCTAGCGGTGGAGAACAGGGACGTGCCGGCGTCCTCGCGGTGGAGAATGGGGAGACGACATGCATCCTTGCAGTGGGAACGGGAAAGCATATTAGCATCTTGTTCCTGGAAAAATATAGTGCAGTGTGGTGTTTTCCGTTGATAGTAAGTTGACTTCCAATTTCACAGCTTTTACAGTTTTAGGAGGTGCTGCAAGATTATTTTGCATTGTTATCATAGTGTGGTGTTTCCTATTGATAGTAAGTTGACTGCCAATTTCACAGCTTTTACAGTTTTAGGAGGTGCTGCAAGATTATTTTGCATTGTTATCATATGCTCCCTCCGTCCCAAAATTCTTGTCTTAGATTTTTCTAAATACGAGTGTATCAAGTCACGTTTTAGTATTAGATACATATGTATCTAGACAAATCTAAGACAAGAATTTTGGGACGGAGGGAGTATGATTTTCAGATTATTCTATCATGAAGTATTGGTTTATTATTGAGGTACCCTTAGATGGAGGGGCTGAATGCAGTTTTGTATCTTTTTTCAAAGTCCTGAATGGTCCCATGAAAATCCCTGTATGTGCAGTTTCAGAGCCTCATCACACTATGGTAGGAAAAATAGGTATTTAGGTTATCGAAGGCTCCATTTTTGTCTATTATATAGATTATATAGCTTTGTGATCGAAGGTAGGTTGTCACATAGGGTGTGTTGCTTGTGAAAATTATATACAGCCATGACCATGAGTCCCTGACAAAATAATCTCAGCTCATGTTACTAGGATCAAGGAACCTCGACCATTTTTCTTTTCCCTCATAAACTTGCTAATAATATTGGCGAAGTAATCCCCACTTCAGATTTCCCATTGAATGAATAACTAATTTAGATTGTTCAAAATTTTTAGGTCAAAGAGCCATGAATAGGAGCAAGGCATCACACTCTAGCTCTGGGAAGAAAAAGATACAAAGACAGAGATAGTCAGTGTTCTGCTCCGAAGCAAAAACATTTTGCATGTAATAATGAATTTTAGTTTACCACAATCTCTCTAAAACAGGCCTACCTATTACCAGTCCATTGCTTGCCTTTTTCTAGGAAGTATGACTCAATCGTATATATTTACATTTGTGTTGTTTAGTTGTGGTTTGTATGCTTGAAAATACATTTTAACCGAGCTTGAAAATTCTTATGTGCAGTGAAATTGTATCTAACACTTTGTAAAGAACAAATGAAACACGTTTCAAATAACTCTTAGTCTAAATTGACACCTTGTGCCATTCGACGTCATAATCATAAATGGTTGCTAAAGAGTTTGAATTGGTAAAGTGGTTTCATCCACCGTTTCAAGTTTGGACTGTTCCTTAGTGCTAAAACCTAATTTAATTTTCAAAACACTTTGTGTTTGAAATGAAAATTGTGCCACATGGCGTAATGGGCCATTTGTGTCACTAGTTGAGTATGCTTCTCCCGCCCAAAGGAGGAACCGAGGAAGAAAATAAATACACAGTCACGGTCTGCGCTGCCGCTTCATATTTTACTCCGGACGGGCCACACAAAGAATTGTTCCTGGACCAGGCTAGGTATTTGGACGCCACACAAAGAATTGTTTCATATTTTACTCCGGACGGGCCACACAAAGAATTGTTCCTGGACCAGGCTAGGTATTTGGACGCCACACAAAGAATTGTTCCCGTACCGGGCTACGTAGCATATGGGCCTTTCAAATATCTATGCCTCCTTATGCACAACATAGAGAGGTTTTTGCACATGGAAAATAAAAGTTTAGTGCAAACACCGCTAAAAAATATAACCTTAACTGGTCTATACATGTTATATAAAAATGAATTTTTTTCAAGCTCATATTTCTTAGTGTGATAACCATATTTTCAACTAAAAAATGCTTCCTTAGCTGGTCTATGCCTGTTATAGAAATATGATTTTTTTTTTCAAACTCAGGTTTCTCTAGGTGATAAACATATTTTCAATATAGTATGACTTAACTCATGGGCTTTCTACTAGAAATATCGAATATGTCCTTGCAAAATGAAACTATTTTCATCGACAACATGCCTTTAGCAGGTCTCTGCAACATTTGGCGCAACGAGTCAACTAGTAATTAGTATAAGGAATAGAACATTCACATGCAAATACACTATCTTGGATATCTTTTGTGATGCTGAGCCCCCATCAAAATATTATATGCCAAAATTGTTGATGTTGGACAAGGAAGATAACTTAATGATTTATGTTTGTTCATATTCATATGGAAGTTATATTGTCATAGATCCTTCAACATGTGGTGCTTTTCCCCATCTTTGCTAGCCAAAAATTCCGCACCAAGTAGAGATACTACTTGTGCATCCAAAAATCCTTAATCCCAAATTTTATTTTCAAGATTCCACCATACTTACCTAAGTATTGAATAAGATCCTTCAAGTAAGTTGTCATCGGTGCAATAAGTCAACAAAAATTGCTTCTAAAAGTGTTAGATCATTTAGTATAAGAGAAAATTGAGCATTGTATGAACTTGTGATGGCAAAGAATAAAAGCGACAGACTGCATAATAAAGGTTGCTATCATAAGGGGCAATATAACATGACGTTCTTTTGCACTAAGGAGTTGAGCATACAAACAAATAAGCGCATGACAACCTCTACTTCCCCCTGCGAAGGGCCTATCTTTTACTTTTATGTATTTACATTCATGCAAGATTCAAAGTTTTTCTCTCTATTCCTTTTTATTTTTCACTTTTGGCAAGCATCACATGGTGAGGAAAGATCTAGGCACATATGTCCAGTTGGATACGGGTAGCATGAGTTATTATTGTTGACATCACCTTTGAGGTGAATATGTTAGGAGGCGAAATTAAAACCCTATCTTTCTATGCGTCCGGTTGAAACGTTTTGCTCATGTATA